TCCCCCCACCAAAACCAAAATTTTATTGCAGATTCGGGGTCCTCTCGCCGAGCGCAGAATGACGCCGATTTCAAAAAAAAAATAAAAAAATTCTGGGCGTTTTTTTGTCCTGCCCGGTTTACCCGGGCGGCTCCCCCGGGCCCAACCGGCTGGGCCCAGCCCGTAAGGGCAGGCCCGGCCGGGCGGCGTCCTCACTCAGAGAATAAGACTAAATAATGATTTAAAATACGAAATTTAAATAGTCGGCAGATCAGGTGTCCGTTGAGATCACCTATGGTCCGGGAGTTCACCGTTGTTAGTGAACTTCCCGAAAGTTGCAGTTCTGAGGTAAACGATTTCGGACAGTCTGCCAAACGAAAAAAAATTCGGACAATTAGGAAAAAGGAAAAACACTTGAATTTTCAAAAGAAAAAAAACGTGAAATTTTGGGAATTTCAACCTAAAATAGTCCGATTTTCAGAAGGCCGAAGTCCGCTTTCGGAATTTTCAACGATTAGGGGGGGGGGGGAATTCGCGAAAAATCCGGACCTCAACCCTAATTTTCCGCGATTTCGCGGAATTTCCGATTTATGGGTCCAGAAACCACGAATTTTCCCCCAATGCGGAAAACCGAAAAATTATCGCAATCCTAAATCAATACCGAATAGAATACCAAATTAAAAATAGAATTTTGCAACTTGAATCTTCGATAGCAATACAGAACTAATTCGGAAAAAGACAATGCTAATTAAGCAATTAATTCCCTAACCAAAATTACCCTGTGAGCAGATCCACTTAATTGGTCTGCTCCGTACCAAACTGTTGCATACTAGTGAATACCTTCACCAAGTATGGGCAGAACCAAAGATACAACCAATATAGGATGAGCATATATGCAGCGGAAGTCTGAGATATGGACTGACTCACATAGACTGAACTCACCTAGGCATCACTCAACACACAAACAATCGTGAGATGGTGGGGTCTGAAGCCATGCATAGACGATGCTTCAGCCCCGTACACCCATACACAGATAAATGGTGGGAGGAGAGACGATGGAGGTGGGAGACAGGGACAGCGCCAGATGTCACAGAAATAGAATCCTGAATGTCACCGATATAGTAGCCCAAAATGTCACCGAACAAAATCAGAATGTCGTGGACATCAGTCACCAATGTCGGAGGTACAGAATCCTGATGTAAACGATGTCCGATCTATGATGCCGCCAGGTATCAATCCCAAGTAACTCCAATGTCTCGAATCCGGTAAGTCTCACATCCTCCTACCACCGAAGTCCAATCACTGATCTCTGTCCATCTCATACCCAAAGTCTCTCATCTGAAGAAGAAGAAGAAGAAGAAGACCTGAGAGGGGCAGAGCATCGGTGGAGATGGCGAGTAGCCCTAGGCCCTACCTGATGATGCAAGGTGGCGCCTTGGCTGCTGTTGGAGACATCTGTGCTGCTGGGAGCTATGGCACTTGCGGTTGCTGTCAGGTAAGTCTCCCTCCTCGCTCTCTCTCTCTCCACAGCCGGCGCTACACCTAGCGCTGCTGTCTAGCGCTGCGCTGGAACAGAAATAGCGCAGCGTTTCGCTCCTCAGTGCTGCCGCACTCCCCACCGGAAATGGCTGTTGGCTGGGCCTAAATACCGGTCGGTGGCCAGTTCGGCCTCTGCCTCCGAAGGTGGCCTCCGATCTGAACCGTCGGATCTATCGTCCGATCCGTGGTTCAGGTTGGACCGGTTTTCGGGAAAACAGGGTGCCTAAACGGCGGTCTGGTCCTAACGAAAACGTTTGGCGATTTCCCGCCCAGGGCCTGCGGCTGCAGGGCCTGGTCTGGAACCGGTTGCGCAAGGCCAAAGGGGCGACCTAAAAAGGTCCGGCCTTTGGGCCGGCCTGGCCTGGACTATCGCATCCAGGCCCTCGGAACCCCTCAGCCTAGTCGTCGGGCCTGAAAGGGCCCGTGTGGAATGCAGTATGTAACAGGCTACCTGCTGAAGTAAATGATTGAGAGGGGTCCAAAGGCACCCTTGGGTCCTGGAGACCCTACATCTAGATTGTGTGCGTGCTAAAGCAAAAAAGGAAGTGTCCATATGTCCTTCAGGTGTCCTTGCCAACGATGTTGAGCAAAGTATAGTAGCTGGTTCTTAAGCTCCTGGATATTGACTGGATCATCATCAGGTTGGTCTTGCAGTTCGTAGTTAAAAATTTGTTCCTGAATGTTCATTTCATGAAGATACTGGTTCTTGGCCTGGCGTCTCAAATATTTATTGCATTTCCTGGATACGAAAGCCAAACCATTATTAAACCATTGCACATAAGAATCATGTTTATCCTTAGTTGTATGCCAGTATTCCCATACATCGTCTATGTATTTTCTAAATTGTTCTGGTGAGAGTAAGGAGGTATTAAGCTTGTAAAAGCTCTTCCCTTGATCAGTTTTTTTCCTAAAGGACAGCAAGACATCACACATCTTGTTTTCTGCTCCTGGCCATGGGTTCTGAGGAAAAATAGTAGTCCAAAGCATAGCTCTGCCTAGGTATTCTGACATTAGAATCAAGTCTATTCTAGATGTACGTTTATGTGGGGTACCCCTGTCACGAATGTAGGTAAACAAGCATTCTTGAGGAAAGATACGGCGGTATGTGTCATATTCTTATATGACACATATCGCCGTATCTTTCCTCAAGAGTTCAGAATCGCGTCATCTTCGTATGATGTTTTCATCTTCCTCTATGTCAGCTGGGCATGGAAAAGGTATCTTCCATCGGTCCAACCACCTATCAAGAGCCGCGTTGAAGTCCCGGGCCATTATGATTGGAATCCCATCAAGAATTTGAGTCCTAGAATTCTATTATGTAATGATGAAGTCCAAGGAAGGGAAGAGAGAAAGCACAAATGTCCATGTTCAGAGAACCTTACAAAATGGAATGGATTCGGTTTAAAGTTTAAACTTTAAAAAACATTAAAATGGAATGGATTGGGTTTAAATCTCAAAAACATTGAAAAGGGTGTATTGACACCCTTTGTATGTTGCATTCATCTTCTGTATCGACGGAAGTGGACAGGACACCGTCAATCTATGTCAAAGGCTCGTCATCTTTCATTGTGATAGAGGAAAGCTCGAGAACGGCTCATCATCTCTCATCGTGATAGTTTTCCTCTTCCTCTTCCCGGGAAAGATTATTATTATCTGTTTGCCAGTCAGCTGTACTAGTACAGTTTTTTGGCGATCAGCTGTGGTATTGTACGCAATTTTTGCTTTCGTGGCTTGCAATCGGGTTCTTGTGCTATGGTCCATTCGACCTGTTTCCGTCTATTGGCATTGGCTGGTCATGGTTTGGGTTCTTGCACCTTGGTCTGCAAGTTTGCACCATTCCATGGATTGCTTTTGTACGTGAACCACAGAAGAAGACCCATTTGTGACTCTGTTTGTGGAACTGGCCTTCTGTGCTCTGCGGTCGTGCAGGATGGAGGTATTCCAAGCCTTTCTTTTCGGATCGGGAACATCCGCAAACATCAGCTGATTGAGGTGTGTATGTTGTCCTTTTAGTATTTTAATTTCCGGCATTGTGTGCTTCGATTGCGAAGTGGATTGGTATTGTTGGCTGCGATAACCTGAGCCATATGATGAATGTCATGATAGTCACGGGTGTTTGGCTTCCCTCTCGAATCTGTTCTTTCTTTTGGCCCGTCGTGGTATACAGCACACAGGACATTATCCAAATTGCATGGGACTGATGTTATGCAGGTAACACAATGCCGTCCCACTACAACGAGGATCTCTAGCTATGGATCCAGCCAGTGAGCACCATGTGCTCTTCCTCAGATCCCCACCTCATCGCTCAGCCTCTTTTCTATGCCTAGCTCCTATTCTCAACCCAGCATTGCTCTGCAGGAGCCAGGTGATTGCACAGCACAAAGCTCACGATGTGCTCGGTCTTGACCCAACACGCTAATACATAGTGCTTGGGACTCAATCCTAGCTCTGGTCCAGTTGGTTTTAGACTGGGAAGATTGTCTGATGGATGGTCCACACGGTTGGAACGATGGTCCACATGGGTGGAACGAATCTGTGTAGTCCACCCAGGTTCATTCAATAGTATGTCTCGACATGGGCTCCCTAGCCCAGGTGCCTTGCCGCATCAGAACCTACCTCTGAAGCAGGAATGAATTCTCCTGTCTGCGAAGAGTCATTGTGAACGGGCACACTGAACAAACATTGCTTCAGTCCTTTTTTTTTCTTTTTTCTATATCAAATGAGCCAAGTATTTGTCAAGTTCAACCTCGCATACATCAATGAACATTCACATAAGAGTTCACACGTGAGAAGCCAAATCGAGATACAATCAACACTTGAAGATTGAAAGGCCTTCCACGATTCAGGCCCCAAATTCGGGTCTCAGGGACAGAGGCCCTGGTCAAGAGAGGACGAGTTTGTCAAATTCAGAAAAGGCACAGTTGGGTACCTCAGCAGTCCAGTCCAACAGGCAAACAGTCACATCTTAGGGGCAAGAGTCACGTCTCATAATGAAAAGCCATATTGAAGAGTCACATCCCACGAGTAAAAGGGCAGTTCCACAGGCAAGAGTCATGTCCTAGCGGCAGGAGTCACAGTCCACAGTCAAAACCCATATGCCAAAATCAAAAAGTCACGACTCAAAGGCCAAAGCAGCAGCAGACCAATGGAAATTCGGGAAGGTTCCAGGCTTTGACATTCAGAAGCAGACAGGCCGTGGGGATGTGGTACCGGAACCAGTCAGGCCCCAACAAGCAGCGGCTGGCACGAGTTGAAGTGCAATTCAATACTACAGAAGGACTGGCCAGCCTCCCAGTCGGGCAGATTGCTCATTCGCAAGAAGTGCGGAAGTGCTGGTGCACTTGTGCGCTGTAGTGAAGGGCAGAGCGCTGAAGCCAGAGTGCTGCGCTAAGGGAGAGAGAGAGAGAGCAGGTGTTAGGGCTGGCACGGAGAGGGCAGCCATAGCTGCGACAGTGCAGAGTATTAGTAGTAGACTTCAGATAGTTAGTAGGTATATCAGTGGGTGTATTCAGAGTAGATCCTTGAGTAGAAGTTAGTGAGTGTGCATGCATGTAGGGAGAGAAGACACAGTGAGGACATAGCTAGGTAGAAGACTAGTAAGGAGGAGAGATACATGAGAGAGAAGAAGCAGTAGAGAAGAGAAACTTACCTGAGAGCTTATGCTGGTTAGTGGTTACCTTTGGTTTGTGCTGATGTGCGCTGGTGACTTGAAGTCTTATTGCTCTTGTAATAACTTGGTGGAATTCATAAGCTGCGCTACCTCGTCTTTATCTCTCTGGTCTCCAGTGTGAACTTCGTGTGGTCTCATACATGCTTGTGGTGTGAACATGTGCGCTCATTTGGTGTTGAACTAGGAGGTTCATTGCAAGATGTCCTCTCCAATATTATTATCAGTATACAAGAATGTTTGTCTCCAGCGGCTCTGCCGCACACACTCGCCAACGAATCTCAACCAGATAGCGGCTATGGCTTCTCCCCTCTTCTCTCTCTCTCTGACTTGACTCGCTCTGCCTCTCTCTCTCTCTCTCTCTCTCTCTCTCTCTCTCTCTCTCTCTCTCTC